AGTTATCTTTACTTTCTAAAATTTCCCTATTTTCCTCTGTGAGCTCATACAGTTCATTCTTGAGCCATAAAAAAGAAATTTGCAAAGATGATTGATTTGGTTGACATACCTTTGTTTTCCAGAAGATTCGATCTATGGTATACCAAGAGTGTTTCTGAGCTGTCAATATTTTATCACCTATGCAAATTGATAGTTGGCTTTTCCAAAAGTTTTTATTAACATTTGTGTACTTACAGTATTACTTTCATTATTATGATCGGAGGGCTTTCCAAGAGGCTTCCACGAATCAATATATATCTTTGAAAGTAAGGTAGTACCTTTTCTTTCAATTAAACGGGCCCACTTACTACACGTTGATTTGATACTTGCGTAGGTATCACACTTGTGTCCAGGGAATAAGTTCTCCGATTGTTGCACGGCATACATCAAAATCATCTCAACAATTTCGTCTGGTGCATGATTCCAAAAATATGTAGATCCTCTAACTAATATTGGTTTTAATTTGTCGTCTGCTCCTTGAATATAAGTTTTAAGTTGAACAATGTTGTATGTTTTTTTAAGAGTTAACCCCAATGCGTTTTTTAAAGTTGCAAATCCTTTTTCAGAGATATTCACTACAGTAAAAGGACCGCGTCATTTTTGTGAAAACTTCCCACTCTTCCGATCAAATCTTTTGTTGTTTTTCAATAATACACTGCGACCATTTTATATAGACGCATGTAGAATTTAGCGGATTTACAGTGTTGCAGTGGTAATAAAATTGTTCTAACGGTACTTTTAAATAAGTATACGTAAGAAAACGATGATCCATTATCCATCTGATTATTAATTGTCTTGATTGTATTAAAATAATTAAATTTTTAATATTCACGTGGCGTCTATAGACGCACTAAAGTTTTTACGAGTTTTTTCGCAAATTTTTTATATTCTATGGTATTTTTTATTTTGTGAGTCGAAATTAAGTTGAACTAAACCAAATGCCGAAAGGAAAAGTCCTTACCGATATTGAAAAAGATCAAATATTGGCTTTTCATCGAGACAAAGTTCCAAATTCAGAAATTCCTAGAAGATTGAAGAGATCAGATCACGTTATCCGTAATTTCTTGAAAAATCCAGCAGATTATGCAAAAATCAAGAGGAAACCAAAGAAATCTAAGGTTTCAAGTCGTGAAAAACGCAGAATTGTTCAACTCGAATCAAATTCATCAAAAACTTTGAAAAAAATTAAGTCAGATTTGGGTTTAAATGTTTGCAAGGAGACGATTAGGAAAGTTCTTAAAGACAGCCCACACATTGTACGATCAAAAATGAATAAAGCACCAAGTTTGAAGCCCGTTCACAAACAGAAACGGATGGAATTCGCCCGCGAAAACATGGCACACGATTGGGAACAAGTAAGAAATTTTAGATGAAATTCTCATGAATACGTAAGATGTCTAAATAGCTGAATATTTTTGTTTTCAATACCAGGTGATTTTTTCGGACGAGAAAAAGTTTAATCTTGATGGGCCTTATAGTTTTAGTGGCTACTGGCGTGATTTGAGGAGAGAGCCCAAATATTTTTCAACAAGGAATTTTGGTGGTGGATCTTTGATGGTTTGGCTTGGGTTTTGTGCAACAGGAAAGTTAAATTTAGCATTTACATCTTGCAAAATGAAAAGTTCTGAATACATTGATGTGCTAAAATCATGTTTGATTCCATTTAAAAACAAATATCGACACAAAAAGTTTGTTTTCCAACAAGACAACGCCAGCATTCACACTAGTAACGAGACTAAAGCTTGGTTTGAAGCTAAAAAAATCAAGCAAATGTGGTGGCCTGCTCGCAGTCCAGATTTGAATCCTGTTGAAAATATCTGGGGAATCATTGTAAGACGTATATGTGCTGACCAGAAGCAATATAACTCTGTGGATGAGCTAAAAGTAGCGGTATCAGAATGCTGGGAGGATATGGAGCCAAAAGTGCTGGAAAACTTGGTGGGAAGTATGCCAAAACGAATTTATCAAGTAATTGAGCGCAAAGGAAGTCCAATCGAGTACTAAAAATGTAATAAAAACATTTTTTTTTTGATAGTTTAGTTAAAAAATGTGAACTGCTTCTATAGAAAATAGTCAGCTATCTTTTGATTTTTTTTGTTGATAATTTTCATTATATTTTGATACTTTATTTATAATTTATTGAAATACACTATAAAAATAAAGTTAAGTACGTTTTTAAGACATAATCCACATGCGCCTATAGAAAATGATCGCAGTGTACAATGTCATCTACCATAATTTCTGACTTTGACAAATATCTACTATTGTAATTTCGTTTTTGCTTTTTCTGCAACTTTTATATTTTCGCTTGCATCAGACATGATTGTTGCTCTGACTTTACTTGTTAATGAAAAGATGGCATCAAAAAAGTTGAAATCGAATGGTTGTTCTACGTCTATATTTTCTTCTCGGTGTTCTTGTTTATTGTTTTCGTCTTTGGCAAGCCTATGCTTAACATCAATTGGCAAAATTGGTTTGCGATTATACATCAGCATGAATGGAGAGTAACGCGAAGAAGAATAGTAGAAGAATAACGCGATGAGAAAAAAGAATAACCTCAATAATTTGCGGCCACATTTTAAGATTACCTTTCAAAACCTTAACCAAAGAGTTCTTTATTGTTCGGTTTTGACGTTCTACCAATCCATTTGCCTGAGAGTGATAAGCAGACGTAACTCTCTGCTCTACTCCAGTTAGTTCGTGTAGTTGTTTACATACCTCGTTTACAAACTCCCGACCCTTAAATTTATTTGGATTTTAAAGCACCCATGCCGACACATAATCTCGTACAAAAATCGAGAAACAGTTTGAGCTGATTTTTCCTTGATAGGTTTAACATCGGACCATTTTGAAAAATAACCGATCAAGATAATGATATGACAATACCCATCGACTACTGGAAGATTACAAATGTCCACTCCAACTTGTTCTATTACACTTGATGGTACTGGTATAGACTTCAATTCTACTTTTGGAGGCTTTAGGTTACCTTGTTTGTGACATTGTTCGCATCTCCTAATATACTTACTAACATCAGCAGCAATATTATACCAAAAAAATCTTTGCGCAATATTGTCATATGTAGTGTTTTTTTCTCTATGTGAGGCCATTGCCTTTGAGTGTTCAGAATCTCTAATACCTCGGTGTACGTCTCTACCCGACGGGCATTTGATTTTAAAAGTTACGTTCTAGATGTATTTTAAATGTCTTTTAAACGTCTTCTAAACATTCTTACGCAAAAAACGTTTAAAATACATTTAGAACGTAACTTTTAAAAACAAATGCCTGTCGGGTAATAACTTCCATTTCTAGTTCTTTGTTTTTAATAACCATTCTTTTATTATAAAATAAATGTCCGTCTTTCATTTTAAACCGTTTTGCTGCTCTTCGAAAATTTGATTTAATCCCATAATCATGTGTAGATATAAAGGTATTTTTTATTCCTAAAATAATCTTCTATGTTATCAAAATCAAAATGTTTTCTTTCCTTCGCCATGAAGCAGCACACTTGGGTTTATTTGTAAAATTTATTTATTTGTTAACGTATGAAACAATTATAGCGCATTATTTAAACATGCTTTTGCGTTCGAATCAACGTTGATTCTATCCTTAATTCTATTTACAGTTTTAAAAAAAAAATTTTTTTTTTACTGCAGAATAGAACGACTTGTAAATTTTGACTTTGTAAATTTTTTTTTTGAATCGCAAGTTCTTCGAGTCTTAATTTACCGCTCAAATCATAATTTCCCGGGAAATTATGACTCATAACATTAAATTTTCCCGTCAAATTTTCTTCCAAGTCTTGATTTCCCCGAAAATCAAGACTTCAAAATCCTAATTTCCTGAAGTCTTAATTTACCGCTACACCGGTATTAAATTTTTCTGAGGAAATCCCAGTCATCGTTAAATGTTTAAATATTTCTCGTTTCGTTACAATTAAAGACAAAATTAAATGTAGAAACTGGGTAAAATGAGATATTGATGAGTTTATTCCGGCAATAATTGATCTGCCTTTAAGGTCATTTGAAGGTTTCCTTTCAATAAAAAAAGAGTTGGACAATTTTACCTTATCAATAATTTCTTGACATTTGTCAATTTAAAGAATAATGTAGAAGCTACTAAACCTCCAAATTTTATCAGATTCAGAACATACTGTTTCATATGTTGTAATGGATAAAAGATAAACAAGTCATCACAACAAAAGTATTACCTTTGTCAACTTTTTTAATCGTTACGTCTTATATTTGTTGTAATTCTTTTATTGCTGCTCTTTCTTTTCTTTGTCATCAACATATTAAACTTTAGTAGGTTTATTTTGTTCAGTTTTTGTAATTATTTTATTCAATTCAGGTGGTTTTAAAATAAAAATTGAATTTATTTTTAATTATATATATATATATATATATATATATATATATATATATATATATATATATATATATATATATATATATATATATATATATATATATATATATATATATATACATATTTAAACAATTTAAAATGTATTCTACAATAAGAGTGCTCAATAATTAAAAAAAAAAAAAAATTTTAATAAAAGAACAGAGCAATTACAAATTAGTAGAAAATCACTTTGTAAAATTTTTTCTCATTTAACACTGTGTTTCATCAATAAAGACTCATCAGAAATCTCATCAGAAATCATTTCTGATGAGTCTTTGTTGATGAAACACAGTGTTAAATGAGAAAAAATTTTACTAAGTGATTTTCTACTAATTTATATATATATATATATATATATATATATATATATATATATATATATATATATATATATATATATATATATATATATATATATATATATATATATATATATATATATATATATATATATATATATATTATTATTATTATAAATATTTGTTGCATCCTTCTAGTATCATTAAACATGAATTTTTAATTTTTTTAAAAATCAATTTAAAACAAAATTTTACCAAAGCATTCCATGACTTCAAAATTGCTGCCATGACACCAATCTATAACATTTGAAATCTCACAAACCCTTGATTTGTCCAAAAATCCATGAGAAAAATTACAATTAGTTAGATTGCTCCTTTGTGCCCAAATAGCTATTATAAAAACATCTTTAAAAATAACATAATTAAATACACTTTTAGTGAGCAAATCATTAAAAAAAAATTTTGTAGACTTGATCTTGTTATAAAAAATTATATTATGTCTTAAAAATAAAAGAAACTAAAAATATATTGTTAAATATAAACATATATATATACTTGCTTATATTTTTCATGACAGAATCAAATTTTTTTATTACATGATACTATGTTTACGAAAAACAGCAAACGTATATGGCTTCCTAATAAAAAGTACATATATTTACCAAAACATTCTAAAACTTCAGTATTATTATTATAACACCAATCGCTTGCATTAGAAATTTTACATTCTCTTGTTCTGTTTATAAATCCATAAGAAGCATTACAAGCTGTCCAATCGCTCCATTTTGACCAATAAGCTAAAGTAAAAAGTAAAATGAATGACTGAAACTTTTTTAAATCATAAAATATTTAACTGCTTTGATAAATCAAACAAACATTTTTTAAAACCATTCTATTATTAAAGGAAGATCCCATAATGCAACAATTTTATATAATTTTTGCAAAAGAAGATGAAAAAAGAATAGGACTATTTATTATCTTGAATGTTTAGATTACTAAGTAGAGAAAATGTAATTAATGCTTCATTTTCACTGCACGTAAAGAAAGAAAAAGAAATTGCCTACAACATGCTTAAATTCGATCTGTATTATACAAGAGACAGACATGCAAGCGTCAAATGTTGGATGAACAAGAAAAAAGGAAATTATAACAAAAAATTAAGTTAATGGTTTTCAGCCAGATTAAGAATTTGTATAAACAAAGCAACTGGATGATTTAGATGATGTTATGTCTGACAGAATTGTTAGTAGAAAACTATGTCATGAATGGTATGATATTGAACAATCTAAGTATACGATGGTAGAGTAGAAAAAGTAAAAAAAAGATTGCATGACAGAATTTACTATCTCTTACTGAAAAAAAGATGAACCTGATTCTGAAGCTGGTGATTATTGCATGAAAAAAAATCCAGCTGGCCCCAGATATTGTATCAAAAGAATTTATTTTTTCTTAATGTTAATGTGTGTTATTTGTTTTTAATGTTAATATTTATTGTTTTCATAATTGTAAGGTTTATTAAGTCCAAAATAGATACTGTAAATGTTAGAACTTGAAAAGTCTTGACATTTAAAAAGTATCGCAAGTGTTGTGACTTGCAGATAGGTAACCAGCAAATGTTGTGACTTTTAAAATTGGTACTGCAAGTGTTGTGACTTGCACAAATTATTGATAGACAGCTCTGGCTTACATTCTCATGATGCCTATTGTTAAAAAATATTAATATTTTGTTTCATTAGTGGGATTTCAAATTGTTTACTAAAAGCCAAGATAATTACAATGGGTATTTTGTTTACACTAAATTACATAATTTTAACTATTGTATTTTTAAAACATTTACATTTTTTTTAGGTAAGATGTTAAAGAATCAAACAGCCTTTTGTCTAAGAATTTAAACACTCTTACACATCTTGTATTAAAAATTAAAGTGTTAAAATTTTTGTTTATTCTTATTTCTTTTAATTTTAACTAATATCTTTCACAATATTTTTCAATTTATAGTTATAAAAAAATTTTTAGATTGGAGGGGCACTCGCTCTTTCCTATGTGAAACTGGATAAACTATTGCTTTTTGTAAAGTGGTAAAATGTCTGTTTATACTAATTTTTGACGTTTGAAAATGTAAACAAATTTTTCTTTTTTAAAATGACAAAAATTGACAGAAAACAAAATTAGGGGGGCGGGGAGGAGGCGTCAGGCGCACGCCCCCACCCCTCAAATAAAATTGTACCCTACTAACTAGTTGTAATAAAAAAAAAATTTTTTTAAGGGTGGGGAAGGAGAATTGGAGAGGGGCGATGCCTCGCGGGCGTACGCCCCTCACCTTGACTCGAGCTATACACCATTAATCACTAGTTGTAAAGTACTGAATTTTAAATTTTATTTTTTGTTCTAGATTACTTATTTAATTTGAGATAAAAATATTATTTTTAAAAAGGGGATTTTTTGTTAATAATATGTGTTAAACAAGCAACACCACATCCACCCCTAACTCAAAGGTACACATCTCATATATGGTAGTGATCTGCGAGCAAAATATTGGAACTTATGTTTGATAAAAAGAGAATTTTCAGTATTAAAATACTTTTTCATGATAGAATATTCAATTTATTGGTGGTAAAAGATATAGTTCGGGGCCCCCTCTAGCCGCCCACTAACGCCCTATGGCGTTATTATAGATGCTACTATAAAATTGTAGCCCACTCTTACATCTATCTTTTGATACTAAACTATAGAAATTTTGACCAAAATTTGCATAGTTACAACAAATTTCGATACAAAAAAAACTACATATGTAAATAAAAATGATGGTGGTCCTATACTAAAAAAAAATCAAAATAATCGATTTTTCAAAAATGGCATATTCTTGAAGCCCAAACATTCTTTATTCCAAATATATATAGATCATCATAGTGAGTAAATTTAAAAATGCTCTAAAATAGCAAGTTTCATAGTGAAGTTAAATAATTTTCTTAGCAACGGCCTTAGCAACGGGTTGTTTATATTATAAAATAGGTGTTTTAGAGTGTTGCGCCATTTACTATAAGTTTTTGACACTGGTGCCAGTAACTGTTTCATGTTTATTTTTCTAAATAAGCCATGACCTTTAAGTACAATTACTATGTTTACATATATTACTTATAGAAAAACTATCAGCCTCGTGTTATACTTTATTTGCTCTGTGCTTGTTTTTAATATGGGAAAAATTAAATGTGATTCAAGTTTAAGAAGGAAAGCAGGTGGTAACAGGATTTTCAAAAAAAAAATACTTTAAAGGAAATCAATTTTCCTTAGCATCAACAATTAGCATTAATTTAATTTCTCAATCGGAAATCACTAACTTAACTCAATCAAAAATCTTGACATCAACATCTTCAAAAAAGTTATCACATAGCAGTAAAAATAGTAATGCAAAAATTAATGATTCAAATAAATTGCCTTCATGCTTTATGCTTATTGACACAGACATTTTAAAATCAATTGTTACTTTGATTGGACATTGTCCTTAATGCCATAACAATTCAATTAAAATCTCAACTGATTTATCAAAAAAGAAAGGCTTGGCAGTGTTTTTAAACATTTCTTGTGCAACACCTTCATGCAATTGGAAACAGTCTTTTTATTCTAGGAAAGAGATTGAAAAGCAAGGTCTAGGAATGTCACTATTTGAAATAAATTGTAGATTTTTTGTTGCAATAAGAGAGATAGGAAAAAGTCATTCTGGTTTGGAAAAATTTTGTGGTTTCATAAACTTACCTTCTCCAATGAACATAAAAGCATTTAATGATGTTCAAGATAAAATTCATATCATATATTAAATTGTAGCTGATGTGAAAATGAAAAATGCAGCAAATGAATTTTGATTTCTTAACAATGATATCCAACTAAATGATTTTGATATTAATGTAATAGCTGATGTTGTTGTTTCCTGTGATGGAACTTGGCAAAAAAGAGGTCATTCCTCACTTAATGGTGTTGTTACTGTTATTGCTAGTGACTCAGAGAAATGTGTTGACTAATGAGTTCTTTCAAAAATATGCAATGCCTGTACATCATGGGAATCAAAAAAAGATAGTGATCCAAAACTTTATGAAAATTTTTTGGAAACCCATGATTGTTTAAATAATCACGAAGGTTCTGTTAAATCTATGGAAGTTTCTGGAATTGTAGATTGTTTTATAAAATCTATAGTCAAAAGGTATATTAAACATATTTGAGTATTTAAATGTTACACCAGGTACATTTGCCTCAGTACTAAACCAAAATAGACCAAGAAAGAATAAAGATGATGGAAAAAAAGTTGCTTAACACAATAAAACAAAAAAGAAAGCTGCTTCGTGCAGAGCAAAAAGGTTTTACAGATATAGTAAATGAAAGTGAAGGTGTATCTTATGAAGCAGGAGTTTTTTAGATAATAGTTTTTTGTTATTTTTTTAATTAAATTTATGTTAAGGCAGTTATTGTATTTTTTAACGTAGTTATTGTTTGTTATCTTTTTATATTCAAGCTTTTTTTCATTGATTGAATAATTCTATTTCGGTTAAATTTTTTTCAATTATTAGAATTTTCACATTTTTCTTTTTTCTGTGTTTTTAGTAATGCTCAAGTCGTTTTGTTTTCAATAATTTTTTGACCTTTTTATATATTAAAATTTTTTTTTTTATATTACAAATCTTTATCATTGTTTTTCTCAATATATGAGTTTTTTGCACGCTGTGATAAATATCTTGAGATTGGTTTGTTTGATTGTGTTGAAATTTTCAGGAGTTGTTTATTATATATATGCACATTCACCTTACCAAAAGAATTAATGTTAGTTAACTGGTTCTAAAAATAAGGTCTAGGTTCTAAGCCTTTTCGGGGCTTTTTTTAGGCCTTAAACTGGTTTTCTTACAAAAGCTTCAATAGTTTGTTAAATTGTTTGATTTTGGCAGGGTGAGTGTAATCATCTGATATTAAAAAGCTGTGAAAATTTCATGATCATACCATTATTAGTTTACAGGCTGCTTATCGCAGCGCGTAGTCCATATTTAGGGTCCATGGACCCAAAATTTTGACCAAAAAAAAATTTTTTTAATTTTTTTTTTCTTTACTGTGCTTTAAATTCAAAATACTATTTCTTATATGAAAATCATAAAATATGAATGCATTTTTAAAATTTTGGTTTTATTAGTATAGGATCACCTTAACAATTTCATATATTCAAAAATTGTCACTAAAAACCTCATAACTTTTTTTTTAATTGTTCGATTTTGATAATTTTTTCACCGTTAAAATACTGTATTAATGCTCTTCTCAACAATATATAACAATATAATATTTTTTAAATTTAAAAATTTGATGTCGCATACCTTTTTTTACTTCACTATAAACTATAGTGAAGTCAAAACATCAATATTTAATTTTAACTGAAGATTACAATAGTCATCCTCAGTTAAAATTAAACATTATAAAATACCTGTTTACAAACTGAAAATTTTCAAATAGGGGAGAGTGTGTATGAAAGAGCCAGGTTTTGAAAGAGCCGATGCCGTTATTTCTAACTTCCTGGCACCCAACCATCCCAGCGGGCACAGTACGTTCATTGTACGTACAATGTACGTACAAAACGCGTCCGTCCGTCCGTGAACTAAAACTGAACCTTCA